ATACACCCATAATAACTGAAGACGACACTATGTAAAACAACAATGTTAGTAAAATAAACAACAAAAATAAAATAATTCAAAGTTAACAGTACCTTATCGCTGAAAATCATGAAAGAAAAAAAATGAAAGAAAAATTAAGAAGGAATTCTTAAGAAAAAAAAAAATTCATTTAAAATACACTAACATGCCAAAAAAATCTAAAAGGTGCCTAGTCTTCATAAAGTACAGCAACTTGACATTGCATAGTTCCCACAAGTGGTCACAAGACCTCTGGAGAAATGCTGAGCCATGCCATCTTGATAGCTCTGATATTTATAGGTGCAGGACCTTGCATGCAAATAAACCTCTCCACCTCATCTCAATTGGATTTATTTTAAGATTTTTTTTATTTTTACACTATTGTGCACCTAATAAAAGACCCAAGAGCCACTCAAGGTAGTGGGTTACTGAATACAGTTTGTTTTAGATGTAAGAGGAGAGAGCAAGTGAAGATTTTGAGGATATGAAAGACATAATAGTTGACTCTGGACTTGGAAGATTATTGTAATCAGGGAAGCATCCACTCAGGAGTGTTTCCCAAAGAAGTGGATCTTGGTAACCTTATCAATAGAACGGTTTGTCCCTATGTATATAGCATGGGGAGTTTTAGCTGCAAAGGTTTGAACTGGGGAAGCTCAAGAATGTAGTTTGTCAGGACATTTTTCATGGAAATAGTGAGAGTAGGGAGAGGCTCAAGCCATTTTGCCTGCATGAAAGATAATGTTAGGTGGGAAATAATTCATCAATGCTATTGAACTGTCAAAGCTGGAAAGAGAAGATTGGACAGCTCCAACCCAGCATTTGATTTGTTTTTTTTTTTGTTTTTTTTAAGAACTCATAAACCCTTTGAAGGTTATTTAAAGCCAGAAACTATTTTTAGATTGCAAGAATTTTGTTAGGGGGAGATAATGGTTCAGTGATCATGGAGTAATGGATAGTGGCTTGGATTAAGGATCCATTACATTCACTTGTGTGCTAATATCCTTGGGAAAGGTATGAATCCTCTTCTCCCTTAGCTATGGGTAAATAGCAGGACAGACTGGGTTCTATAGCCTTGGATGGCAACTAGTCTACCACAGAAAGAAATGGCAACCTGCGGGAAAAAAAAATGTCTTGTCAATCATTTATCAAAAGATACATGATCTAAGCGTGTATCATGCATGGCACATAACTGACACGATTCATATCTTTACCAAGAGTATTTATTATCTAAGTGAATATAATGACTCCAATAGGAAATGGAACTCTGCTCTCCAAGTAACAATTCTAAACCTTTATCCATTACACACACACACATCCAAGCTTACAACAGCTGGTCTTCCCAAGCAGTCATCCATCTAGATACTGACCAGGATTGATGTTGCTTAACTTCACTTGAGGCCTGGGGTGAATATAAGTTCCAATAGACATTCAAAGCAAAGATCTTCTTTGAGAGTGCAATCATTGTGACTGGTAAAAATTTAGTAGCTTGGCTTTTGAATTATTTATACTTTACATTGTTGTTGTCATATTTACGTTTCGGACATATGCTCTAGCCTTCTTCAGGTGATTGGAATTTTGAACTGAGCCCTATATTTTGTCTACCTGAGTAGATTATTCTAGTTCCATACAACATGCCTCTTCCAGATATCTCACCATCAGTTTTTTCCCTTTAATTCAACCCTCCAAGTTTTTTTTGTTCACCTCTGCTGTAGCCAGGTATTGAACTAACAACTCACATTGGTTAAAGTAATCCAGTGACTTGAGCCAAAGAGTTTATGACATCAAGGTACAGTGGTGCAACCTACCTTTATATACATCAACCCATGACTTTTGGCACTTCAGTGTAATATATAGAATTTTAAGATTGAAAACATAAGCAAATATTAAATACATTCTCACAAACACCAAAACAGAGTAAAAAAAATTATTTGATTTCTATAAATTAGTACTAATGAAAATTTCATGACTAAAGTATTCGTATACCTATTGCATTGCAATAGGTATATGAATATCTTATGTATTTAATATTTGAGCTTAACAGTGTTAACAAAATATTGAAATAACAATCGAAAGTATAAATGCAGGTCATGACTTAAAGAAGCAAGGTACAAAGAAAAAATGTTTAAAATTGCCAAGATTTTCCATGTCATTGAAGCAAATATTTAATGCATGTGTATCTTCACCTCCTTTACTTTCAATTTTTTTTTTTTTATACATACACTTTTTCTAAAACCAGTTTCTAATAAGTTCTTTGTCCACCTTTCCTCACAAACAAAATGAAAGTTTTCATTAATCAACAGTAGTGGTAAGGTGTAACATATACTAACTCAGTTAAGTGCCATACGCAATATATACTCATACAAGGTCTCGATTCATGACTGACAAGGCAAATTTTGCCACACTAGGTTGTTATTTCTTTGTGGTATACTGGTTGCGAGCCAAAGCTATCGGACCCAGTCTGTCCTGCTATTCAACCCATAGCTTTAGAAGAGATGGTTCCATACCTTTCCCAAGGGTATATGTGCATAAGTGGTCCATCTACACATATGTTATGGAGTTCTGAATTCTGATTCAAACCTGTATACATTAAGCAAAAGTTAGAGGAAAGTGATAGATCCATAATTTATATCAGAGAGAAAATTGAAACAAGCTGCTTGAAGTGCAGTTAAAAAAAAAAAAAAAAAAAAACAAGAGCAGAAACTATAACCCTGATAAAGGGAGATTTTATTTAGTGACAAAGGCAAACCCATGAAGAAAAACTGTTACAGGTAAGATTTGACTAGGCACTATGGTAAAGACCCTAAATGTTCTGCTAGATAGATAAGAGAAAAAGAAAGAAAAAAAATAGTCCAATAAATCTGGTACAATTGATTTCTTGAAGTATAAACCCAAGCAAGCAAATGTAGCAGGAGATGGTAAAGAAATCTATCTGGGGAATGGGTCAACATCGTTTCTGAAGGTCTTAAAGATAAAAACATTTCTGGGTGTCCTTTCACAATCATTAGGCGCCACTCTCGAAGTTAACTCAACTAAAATAACTTGAGACCTAGACTTGGAACAATCAACATTTTGGGAAATTAAAAACAAAGTCATGACAAATTCTGCTGTGCTTCTCTGTATAACAAAAACAATCCATACAACAGAAACCAAAACTGCATCAGAAAAGTGTATGGTCATTGTTTGGAAATCAGGAATCATAGTGAAAATCAGAGAAAAGATATTGCCAGGAAATTAATAAAAGGTGCCAAGAACTGCAGTGTTTAGGTCAACGACTGGTCAATCAAAAACAACTAATTCTTCTCCGTGACAATGCCCACCTGTATTTCTCAATGACAGAAATTAAAGCTAAAACTAAGCTACAAAACTACTTCATCTAGCTTACCAGACTTTGCTCCAATCAAATCCACCTTTTTAAGCATTTTGTCACTTTCCTGCAATAACCAAGCTATAAATCAAAACGTCTTAAATATTCAAGTCCACAGAACTCCAGAATCCTATGCTACTGGGATAAATAAACTTTTTTTTTTGTCAGTAAGCACATGGAGATTCTAAAGGCTCTTATCTTGCCAAATAAATTTTATTCCAACCGGAGATATACTGCTTCAAACTTAGTTAAAAACAGCAATTATTTTTGCAACAGCCAAACACAAAACTTCATTAAATGCTTCATGTGTTATGTAACAATTGGCAAAAAACGAATAAGAGATTTTCAGTCTTATAAGCTAAATTCCATAACTAATTCATTAGTTGCAGTTTAAATTGTAGCTCTCTTGTGGTTAGTGAAATCTAAATAAAATTCATAATACAGTAGAAATATGAAACGGAGATCTACTTATTACAGTTAACTTTCCACCTTGCTAAGATTCAGTGATAGAGCAGAGGACATTGAGATTTGAAGTTGGAAAGGTTTGAAAAAGTGAGTCAAGCATTTAAATCAGCAATACACATGCTAAAAGCAAAATATTTGCCACTACTTAAGGAGACTGGCCTAATTGTATAAAAAAAAAAAAAATTCAGGGAATAATTTTTGTAGATTAATATTCATTAGAGCGTCAAGGTGCAACAATTGTCAGAACTAAAAAATTGATTTTTTTTTTTTTTTTTAAATTGGTTTAGAAGGGAGCTATGTTCATATTATTGATAGTGTAAAATCAATTCCTGACTTTTTATTATTTTATTATTGAGCTTAGTTATTTACAAATGTTTAGTTTGAAAAAAGTGCTTACATCATAGATACCTGTATACTTTAATTTTCTGAATTAAAACTATAAAAAAAAGGGGGGGTGGGGGGGAGCACATGCACAAATATTGGGGTATAATAATTGTTAAATGAATAAACAGGTACTTTTTTTTGCTTTAATCAAAGACATATACATCTGGTCTTTACTTAAGAAATATTTTTGTGTGTGAGTGATTGATTTTTGCACACAGTCTAGATAACTGAAAAAAAAGTCAGGGATCAATTTTACAGTGTACCAATATTATGAACAGGATCCCACTTCTAAAATCATTAAAAAAAATTAATTCTTTTGAGTCTGACAAATTTTGCACCTTGAGGAACTAATCAATCTACAAAAATTATTTCCATTTTTCATCCCCTCCACAAGTGAACCAGTCTACTTAGGTAGTGGCAAAATTTCATATCTGGAAAGAACAGAAGTTTGGATAATCTTTCATGGTTAATCTTTTCAAATCTGAAGTCTAAAACCTAAGAAAGAAAAGATTAAAAGAAATGGACTCAACAAGTGAAAAGCTTCTCCAGTTTTATTCTTAATGTGTCATGAGCACACATTAGAAATTGGATAGAATGCATTAGAGACCCCTAAATTTTGTGGTGTCACCCAAAGTAGAGGAGAAAAGTTCTCTTAATCCTGTCCCCACTGAGTTACTGTATCATAGGTTTTCAGACCTAGTTTCTTCTGGATATTCATGGCAAGGATGTGGGACCGAGAATCCAAATTCTTGGTCTTCTCAATTACCTGCTGATAGGGGGACACAGCCTTAGTGCCCATGACCACATGACCAAGCTTGGAGTCGATCTTTGCATCAAGCCGGGCATTGCGGATCAGGTTGACAATCCAGCGTTCAGCTTCATCTGGGGTCATGTTCAGCTTTTCGGCTAGCATGCTGATACTGATGCACTCATGAATGCGACAGAAAGTTTCAAAGATGAGCAGGCGAGCATTCTCAATGAAATCATCCAAACATGCAGTCAAGAAGAAATCATTGATAAGAACGGTTTCACATTCTCGCAGTTTCTGTTGGGCACCATCAAAGTCAAAATTCACGTAGAGGCACTCCACAAATTCTGTTATTGGATCTCTGAAAGTGTACGATTCTTGTTGTATGACTTTAACTAAGTCCTTCAGTACCTACAAAGAGAAGTCAAAAAACAAACATGAATGATAAGAGGAGGCAAACAATGGATGGTTAATAAATAAAAATTACATAAAAAGGTGTTTTATATACATGAAGGAAATAAGTGTTGCAGAGTGATAAAGGAAAGGTTTGGGATTTTTTAGGCTTAGTACAAGGATTAAACTTTTTTTGCTTCTGCAGGCCATAACATGTATATTAATAAGTGGCATGTAGGCAAGATAAACAAGCACAAAATGAAATGAGAATTATCAATTTAAATCCATTATATTTTGCTTCAAATCAAAATGAACCTTGAGCCAATGTAGTATGATGCCATGAATGGGGCACAGTATGGTAGCAAGGTGTTCCAAGTTAACAGAATTTATGAATTATTTTTATATTTTAAAAATAATCTTTATAAAAAGCTAGAGACACCAACCACGACTTCCATGTTTAAGTCAAGCCTTTGTCATTTGAGATTTAAACTGGATGTTAAATTCCTTAATCTATAAAGAGGGGATAAATCTTTCCTCTTTGTATTCCTCAAAGTATAACATATAAAGCCTATCAGTCAACAAATTACCAAGACACATCAAGCACAGTTTTCACATAAGCATACTTAAATATACAAAGAATGTCTTAAAAATAAAGGCTCATTTCAGGAGACTTCTTTCCTATTTCATTACTAAATTTTCTTTATTAAAATTGAAAGTGCACTCCAGAGTTTAGTTATTGTACAAGTGCACACTGGTGGTAAAAAAAAAAAAAAAAAAAAAAAGGTAGAGAAACACTGTTCTAATGTCACTCCATAGAAATACTATCACCAATAATTTGTTCAGACTGCTTGCATGTTGGTCACTAAATCCATTCATGAGCAAAATCTGTCCCACAAAGTATCAGTTTTATGGTTTGGTAATTTTTGAAAGTCAGTATAATAGATATATCACCATACATCTCTTATGATAAAACATTGAACCCAATGGCTTTTCAAAAGATGTCACCAATCTAGTTTCTCCAATCCTCAGTTTTCAAGATGCTAATAGCAAAACAATAAATAAATAATTCTTATTTTTCTTTCAATGATAATTATAAACAAAGATTTTTAGGGAAATCTGACAATACTGGAAATTTAAGATTTCATCCTTTCATCATCCACATTTGTAGTCACATCAACATAATCACTTTAGCCCAATGAAGTACTAAAGGACAAAATGTGTCGTATAAACGCCCCCCCCCCCAGATTTTTCTACTACTGTTCTTGATAAAAGACAGCAATATATAAAAATTTATGAATTGCTTTCCCATAAAAACATGAATATTTTTTGAGGGTTTTTTTTCATATTTACATGTGAAACTGAAAACTAGATTTAACCCAAATTTTGCTTTTAATCTCAATATAGATTGGAAATATTCTGCATTTTAAATCCAGGAAAGGTAGAGGAGACATGTGTAGAGTTGGCAAATTAGAAGCCTCATTGTTCATGCAACTGCTGTCAGACAGTTTCATCCCTTGGGAATTCTAACAAATATTCCAGAATTACAAGTGAAAATAATTTTCATCTTATAATTCAAGGAAACGAACGAGTGAGGTGCTCCATAAGTAACAAACCAAGAAGTGAACATTACAAAAAGATTAATATCCAGCCAATTTAATAGAATAGGAAATCAAAGACCATATGAAAACCAGGTTTTATCAATTATAAATACACACATTCTTTGTATATCTATACCTATTTAAAATGATTTATGTAGGCCCCCGATATGCAGATTTACCTTTTACAAAACTGAGTTAAGTTATTGAATCCAACTCCTCATGCTACCCTCTAACTTTATAAGAGCCAGATCAAGCCAAAAATAGAATACTGTTGTCATATTTGACAAGCCCAGACCTTACTTTCCAGTATTGATAGAGTTCAAAAGCATCTTAGAGTCCTTGTGGATGACAAATTATTTTCCACCCTTCAACTTTCTCCCTCACAGGCAGGATATGGTAAGCCACACACTGCTCTATTGCTACTTCCATGGAAAGCACTTGGAGGAATTACATTTTCATTTTGCCAGGTCTAACCGCCACAGCTAGGATCTGCCAAGTTGCTTACATTACAGCCAGCCAACCACATTCCCTGTGTATTTCACTGGTGAGAAGTTTCACTCAGACAGTTTCTTCTGGCAAATCATGGCTCTGTGGAACAGATTCCCAAGAGGATGTTTCCTCAATCACTACAATCTTAACCTGTTCATGCCTCGAGTTAACAGTTATCTCCCACTCCTATCTGTATAAACTACCCCTTAATGTAACGCTCTGCCTTGAGTGCCCCATCTTCAGCCTTGTACAGGGTGAACCTTAGAACAGGAAAAAAAAGAAAACACTTTCTATTTACTATATAGAGTTTAGGATGTGCTAGTTTCATTTATTTTAATTGTAATCAGATGTTTTAGTATTAAAAAACTCTGCATAAAGTATTCTTGCTCACAATTCACAAAATTTATTTTATAGCATATCTAGAGTGACATGGTTCTGTTGTGTGAAATGTCTCCTGAATAAAAATGTGTACATGAATTTTAAAAATAAAGTAAAACTGTGATATTCAATGTATTGGTCTTGGTCAATGATTTAATATCTGGTCTTTATCTAAATGTGTCAGAAATTGTAGTTTTCGGATAGACTTTATGCCTCAAAACTGTACAAAAGATGAGGGCATCTCCTATAACCAATGGACTATCAAGTTTTACAAGTAGTCCGAGTTTTTATCCAATGTAAGATTCTATATTCATAATGCTAATCTTTTGAAAGTCTTCTTGTATCGCTCAGTTATTTTATAAAAGTGTTAATATTTTAATTGTTTAAAAATGTGTGTCCAAGTTTGTTGAAACAATACTAAAACTACATAAAATATGGGAATCTATTTTGGTCGACATTAGCATAATAAACCTGTGAAAAGTTCGATAACTTTTTTTTTTAGGTGCATGAATTTTGTGTGCACACCAAGAAAAATGATCTACAAATTTCATAATTTCAACAATTGTTTTTATTTAGGAAAATATTCAAAGATTTGTAAATTTTATATTTGGTAAAGGCTGGTAATGGTAAGGGTTATATTAACTATTTCCTTATAAAGAAATATTCAGTATTCATTGACCCAGCATCCAATGTAACTGTTGGTTGAAATTTATAAAATTTTTCTCTTAAAACAAATTTTGCAGGAAAATAGGCTTCTCAAGTTCACTGTTATTGTTCTTTTCAGTATTGATGAAGAGGAGGAGACTCCCTAATGTTTTATCTGTGGAAAACCAACATCTTAAATTGTCACTGTTTTCTAGAGTTACAAGTATTATTCATTCTAATTGTTACTCCTGCCGAAAGTTTTTTTTTTGATGAAACCAATTCCTTAAAAATTTAAAATGGGTTTATGCTCGGAAGTTATAAGCTGACAAATGGAGGAAGAAAAAAAAAAAAAAAAAAAAAAAACCACCAAAAAAACAAGTCATCTCAAAACAAGCATAATGCCATTGATATGAGGTAGGGATGGTGTGTGTGCATGCATCATACATAAATCACCACTGATTTGAGATTATTATATATATATATATATATATATATATATATATATATATATATATATATATATATATATATATTAAAGATATTATTAAGACCAAAGTTTTTGGTTTATTATTAAATTGTATTTTTTTTTTTTGATATTTTTAGAAAGTTTGAAATTTCAGTTCAAAATTTTTTTTTTTTTTCAGTGATGGGACCAAAGACTAGTATAGGCAATTTCAAGTTTTTTTTTTTTTTTTTTTTTTTAACAAAAAAAATAAAAAAATAATAAAGAAACACACTGATTTGGAAATTTTTTGCAAAAAAATCAAATAATTCTGGGATTTTAATGAAACTTTCAGGTCCTATTCACAAATGAATTATTTTAGGATTTAAAAATTTTTTTTTTTTTTTTAAATAATGTCTGTTACTCTCCACTTATTTCTAGAAATTGAGGAATTAATTTTTGTGCCATTTATTTTTTATATTAGTTAAAAGAACTCCTTGGAGAACTTAAATTGGGTACCTCCACTATTTCAGCATAAATTTTCAATACCTAGTTTAAAATGAATTTTTAAAAATGAAAAAAACATTCTTGAAGATTTCATTTCAGGTTTAATTGAAAGCCACATGATTATATTTATTATTTCCAGTAAGTAAAATATTCTGGTGTATTTCAGATAGAAATTATATGGATTGGAATATCAAATTTAATTTCGGTTACATAAAATTCTTAAAAGCGATCATTTTCTTAATTTTGAGAAATTTGTAAACAAACAAACAAAAAAAACATGCATTTCTGAAACTTTGAGTAAAATTAGAAAATTTCAAGTTAAATTAATCTGATTTGAAATAAATATTACTTATAGCATAAAAAAAGTAATATACAACCATTTATTTAATGATTGGTCCTGCTTATCATAGCTTATCCAAGGTGATAAGGGATGAGTGAGTGACAAAGCAATACAGCCAATATGGGTGGCTATAGTTGATACAAAATTTAAGAAATCTAAGTGAATGCATTTTTTTTTGGTTTTTAACTACCTAGTAATTTTTACAAATGAACACATTTTTTGCACTTATTTAATAATTTATTGACTTATTTACCTTTCAAAAGATGCTTTATGCAAAAATAAAAGAAATTTAAAATACTATAAAATTTTCTTAAATTACTTTTTCTGTAAAATGACAAAACTTAGATCACATCACCTTTTCATAAGGTCACATTTTAACTTTCATAGATGAAAATAGGGAACAAATTAAAAAAAAAAAATTATTTTAACAACAGAATAGTGTAAGTATGTTTAAACTTTTTAATTTTGGATTTGTAAATTTCGTTTCCACTTAATTACGATATCACATCCAGCAAATAGTCCAATACAGAATTTTACACGATTTTAAACTATTATAAATTGTTTAAATTGTTATAATTAAAATTTAAAGAAAATGAAAAAAATGCTCCAACCTCAAAAA